ATCCCCGTGTTCTCAATGTATATTTGCACCAGTTTATTCGGCGACCCGAATAAACTGGTCTACACGAAGGCAGGGGCATCATTTTTAAAGCGCTTACTTTTGCACGTGCTTTCGTAAGGAGCCCTTCGGCTCGTGTGCGATGGGTACGTTTGGACGCGGTTCCTTTGGGGGATTTCCTGCTCTATCTGAGCTGAGATCAGGCGCTCCCTCATTCACGGGGCGGCCGTAAGTCAGAGGCGACTTGATCTTAGGTAACACCAGCCTTTATACATCTCCCTTTCCACGCAGCAGGATCAGAAAGGCTGCTAAAATACGGAATAGCGGGATTTTGAAGTTGAGGAAAGTAACTTTATTCCGTTCTTTCTCAAAAAAAAAAAAAGTCCGTAGTAGGGGGATCGAACCCGTGACCTTGGTGTTATGAGCACCACGCTCTCTACTGGGGGGTGTGTGTTAAAGATCAGCTACTCCAATCTCCTTATTTTAGGGTTCTCCAAAGAAGTAGCCATCTTCGCATGTTGGGCAAAGGGGAAAAAAAGAATAAAATATTGCAGTATTTTAAAGATTAACAGCTTTATTTTAGTACGAGCTTGCGTGGATCACAATCCACCTACTCAGATACTGGAGTGCAATCCCATGGCCTGTAAATTTATATACAACTCCATGGTCAAAGGGGATATTTGCAATCTAAGCAGCAGAGTTGTGCCTTTTCAAGGTGGTCCATAAACCCGTAAGTCTACCCAAAACTTCATACAAGCAGAGCCCTGCTGGATCAGGCCAAGGGCCCATGAGTCCAGCTTCCTGTCTCTCACAGTAGCCTCACCAGATGCCTCTGGGAGCACATGAGACAAGATCCCTGTGTTTTGATCCCTCTCCCCTGCATCTGGCCTTTGGAGATCCCGTCCTTTTAAGCCTGGAGATGATACCTCCCCATCGTGGCTTGTCACCTGCAATGGACTTTTCCCTCCAGAGATCTGTCCCATCCCCTTTTAAAAGGCATCTGGGCCTTCTGAGTTTTACCTGTTCAAGCAAAAAAAAAAAAAAAAATATGCATGGCATAGCTGTACAGCCACCCGTTTGCTCACTCTCTCACGTCAGAGCAGCGAGATTTGTGTCCAAGGCCACGCAGAGAAATCGCAACCCATTACACCATCCCATAGTGTTCAGCCAGGACCTTCCAACCGCTAGGATCCAAAGATAAATAGGTTACAACATGCCAGGGCAGTGCGTGGCCCCTGATTTGGCCACTTCCATGGTGGGTGGGTGTGTTCATGGGTCAGTTTCAGGACATGGTGTCTTGTCCGGTTAGAACCTGCTTTTCCTCCCATGGGCTGTAGAGGATGTACCTTTTTCTCTCCCCCCCCCTTGCTTCAGCCTCACGACCCCCCTGTGAAGTAGGCCAGACCAAGACACAGTGACTAACCCAAGTTAGTTAAAGGCCATGCCTTAGCGGGGATGGATACTCAGATTTACGTGTAAGTCATACCAGCAACTCAACTGAAGACTCTGAGATTTCCCCAATGACCCAGTGACTTGGAACCCACCCCTTTTTTTACTGGGAGGAAATGTTTGTTTTTAATAGGGACTCAGACCCAAAGAGTTGCCAACCTCCCCTTGCCTCGCTGAGGACTAGAAGCAGGATTTGCCAAGGGGACAATCTTAACCACTCCACCCCACCAGCTTTTATGACTAGCACAGAAACAAAATCTGCTCTAGTTGCAAATTACTCTGCTAAGCAACCGGAATTCAGCTGACCTGATGCTTTTCTAAAAGAGAGAATCATTTACATTAAGAAGTAGGAAAAGTGGATTGAACTTTTCTGCCGTTGCTCAGTTTTCTGTGTGCGGAGACATGAGTTTATTCTTATGCCAGTGACCACTAAGTGATGGTCACATCTGGACCAAGATACTGTTCACTGCAACCCAAAGGTTGGAAAAAATTATTTGCTGGACTACAGATCCCAGAATCCTGCAGCTATTATAGCTTATTGGCTGCTGGGCTGGAAGATTCTGGGGCTTATAATTAAGAACAACAACAACATCGTCGCTCTGCTTGAACCGTGGTTCAACCAGTTCGCTGCTGAAATAAAATCAGACACATAAAATGTTTCAAAGTTTGTTTTGTATTGTTTTTTTTTAATGCTTGTGACAGCCAGGTATTCTGACAGGTAGATGTACGGCTAATGCTGCAGATGCCAGAGAGAGTGCCATGGCAGCGGCTGGAAACCAGAGCCAACTTTTCTGAGTTGCTCCTGCAAAGGATAAATATATATATATTTACACCTTTTCCTTGAATTGCACAGCTCTGAGCAGCACGATTTTGGTTATATACAACTTTTTCTTTCAATCAATCAATATTTCAATAAGTAAATAAATATTCATAAACAGAGTGCTGCTATTTGTCTTAGGAACTGGCCTGAGAATGGTGAATTTCAGACGTACCAATGCCTACGTTTTTGTTGGCGTGCTGCCCCCTTGGCCCAGTGGCGGGGCTCTTGGCATTACAGCTTAACATGGCAGCCAGGGCATGCCAGGAGGCTAATCAACTGTTTATGCTTTGTAGTTACGTTTGGGAAGGGGGGGGCATAAGGTTATACACAGAGTTTGAACCACACGGGAGTCCAGCGCCCTTAACCCCAGCATTATTTAAGGGAAAAATGTACCATATTTTTCTGTGTGTAAGACTATACTTTTGTCTAAAATCTTTAGACTAAAAATTGAGGGTCGTCTTATACACAGAAGTAAGCTGAGGAGAGAACAAAAAGAAGTGGAGTGGAAAGCAGGGATCAAATCGATCCTTCAGTGCTTTAATCCCTTTTCCCCTACACTTGCTAAACCCCACTTAGATTTCTTAATTTTGGATTCTCTTATACATGGGGGCATCTTATGCACGGGAAAAATACGGTATTCATGACAGCGATATGCGATTTCCCTCCCGTGAGCTCAAGGCTGCATGCATGATTGTCATCCTCCCCCCAATTTTTCATCGCCAGGACCCTACCAGGTGGGTCAGCCTGAGAAAGCAGAAGTCACCCGCTCACTTTAGCTGGAGCAAATTCTGCAGGTGGACCATTTGGGAAACAGGAGACTTGCTATGCACTGGGGGTGGAAGACTGGGAATCCAGTCAGCGTATAAGATACCCAAAGCCCTCCACGTGTATTTGACCACAGTTCCCATCAGGCCTACCTAGCAGGAACCGTGGTCAGACATGATAGATTTTGTAGTCCAAAGCATGAATACACCAATATAATTAGCAGCAGGTCCCCAAAGTGTTTCTCACCCCTTTTTGCCCCCAGATATGGGCGAAATCTGGACTGTGGCCCACCAAATAGTGTATTTGCATGCACACCCCCTGAATTCCTTTGGTCCTTCCGGTTTTTCCACTGAAAAAAAAAAGATTTTCCTGGAAGCCCCCAGGAATGATGTGTTTTGCTTGGACAGAAGCACACCCCCTCCTCACCCACCCCACGTATAGCCCTATGACAGGGTCTAGTTTCAGAAGACCAGCTACAGATCTCTGGCTAAGAAGTTCCGTTTCTGCAAATTCCAGAGGATCTAGAAAAGTGCCTTACCTCCTGGAGCGTTCCCCACCGTCTGAGAAATGACCGGATGATCTATAGATCTCTTTTGCTGGTATGCTGCAAGAAAGCACAAACACACCACCAATAACAAAGTAAGTTGTGAAGAAGAGATCAGATGTCCACTGCATCGAGAGATGGAAAGTGCTATCGGCTCTCACTCTAGTAATTGTTTTTGATATTCTGTAAGCCACCCACCACCCACAAAGTAAGTTGTGAAGAGACCAGATGTCCAGTGCATCGAGTGATGCAAAATGTTATCGGCTCTCACTCTAGTATTATTAGATACAGAATTCCAGCTTGCATCATTCATGACCTGGAACAAATAAATAAATAAATAAAATACTGTAGTATTATTAGATATAGAATTCCAGCTTGCATCATTCATGACCTGATGGGATGTTTCAGGGTCCTTAGAAATGGCCAGAAGGTGGCCAGGTGAGTGTTATTTTTTTTTTTAGACTACCACTCTCAAACATCCACAGTAAGGATGCAAAAATCTGACAGATTCCTGCTCTTGGCAAGAAGGTACACACGTTCTCCTTGTTCCTTTTACAGCAAGATTTCTTAGCACAAGCATTTTTATTCCCACCCACCCCAGAAAGAAACCTCACAAGAAATCTCACTGGAGTTCTTTGATTTTTCACAGCCTTTTTCCAATCTCTCTCTCTCTTTTTGTAAGAAGAGGCATCTGTCTGTGCAGAATTATTACAATTGCTGCACAAAGTGACATTTTCTTAGAAACTACAGCGGTACAGAACAGGGCAAGAGTAAAACCAAACGGGCAAAACAGAAAAAAAGATAGACTTGATTTTCTGTTTCTGAGCCTAGAAATTTGATCAGTGCAAAGAGTTCCTTTGGCAAGGAACCTCAGCATGGCGAGACTCAGAAAAATCAAGAACAAGACATATTCAACATGTTTTCCATACCCTTATCTACAGGAGCTGTAGTCCAAAAGGCTAACTATTCCTATGTCTTGAAACAGAACCCATTTGCTCAGACTAAGCATGTCTATTGCCTGCATATGGAGGTTCACTGAAAAGAAGATGTAGCAATCAGGAGACCTGGATTGAAGTTCTCACTCAGCCATGGAAAGCCACTGGGTGCGGAAACATTGAACCAGCCCTTGAACATCTCCGGGACGTTGAAAACCCTGTTAGGGTTCCCGTAAGTCAGAAGCAACTTGAACGCACATGACAACAAGATACTGTGACACTATAGTTCCCATCAGGGTTCACAAGTAAATCCACTGGTATAGGAAGCAAGTTTGCCATTGCAGTTCAAGAACATGTAAAGGATCACATCAAAAGGCCCACCCTTTTATTAAATATACCATCCCTAGAGATTTCTTGGAGTAATCTTTGATTGAGGTTGCACCCCTGAATGATGCAGATCAAAGGAAATGTGGCCATAGATACCCACAATGCAACAGGGCATTTCCCCAGCATGCATCTGACTCCCCTTATCTCTGGGGCCCCTCATACCTCCGAGACCAAGGGCATAGGGCGCAGGAGTACCCCTTTCCCCCAACAGTCTCCGGGCCCATACTCGGAGCGTCTCATTGAGCGGATAACGGCAGCGCAGAGACAGCCTGGAAAGAAAAGCCACAGAAGTTCTCCCTGCTAGGAATCTGCTATATTCAATACCCAACCAAAAGGACAATCTTACTGGAAATATTTTCAAGTGTGTAATTGTACCTATACTGGGAGTCTCTAGTAATGACTGGATTCGCTTCTGGAACCATCTCTCTTCTGAAGAAGACTTCGTTTTCATACACCATGTAGTCACCTTCAAACTGCAGTAGAAATGGGAAAACATTCACTGCATGAACTTAGCGATGTAGCAGATAACCAAGCTGGGTGGGGAGAAGCTAAATCATTTTCTCCACCCCACCCCATCACAATTTGGAAATGTTACTTTTTTGGAACACAGTGTCCTGAATCACACAGCCAGAATCTGTTGTTCCAAAAATGTAACTTCTCCATATTCTGCCCATACCTTTACTATATCTTGGAAGGACTTGACTGAGGATACACCAGAAACACAAACCATTTCGATCTATTTATTATGACAAGTCAGACCTTTCATTTGGGTTCTTAATGTCAATTCAGGCTGATTGCCCATGGTTTTAGGTGTGATTTTTCCCCTAGCCCTACTCAGTAGTAGTCTTTCATCTAAATACTACCCCATCCTTCTTAGGTTTCAAAATCAGATAATAGGTTAGGTGTCTTTTGGTTGATGTGTAAGTTGACGAAAAGAACCCCTCTCTACGTGATATCCCAGGATGTTCTCAAAACAACAGCTTCCAGTTCTCGGATCACAGAACATTTAACAACTCCCGAGGCATCTCCAGTGGGGAAAAACACACCCATGTATGTCGTTCACCTCAACCACCTTCCTGCATTGGAGGTTTTTAACACACAGGTTGAATGGCCACCAAGTCAGAAATGCTTCAGCAGTAGCTTTCCAGCACTGCTTGGCCTCGGCTCATTGCTGGGAAACCCTTTACAATGTTATGATTCTATTGTACCACGTGAAGTCTCACATACCCTCCTCGTGGTACCACACGTAGTTACTGGAAAAGAGAAGAGTGCTCGGCTTTCATCGGCTGCGACCGGACCACAGTTCTGGTCCCGTAGGTGAGTTTTCCTGGGGTCCAAATTCGGTTTGGTGTCCAGGCTGAGAACTGTGGCTGTCATGGTTCCGTTGGGAAAGCACACTGCATCCAGAAAAAGAAGTCGTATCAATCCAGAATTACCATTGGCAACAGCCACAGAAATCAGCACGAGTACCTTTTTTTTTCAAGTGGAGAGCTGCAGTTTGATTTCAGAGTCTTGTACCTCCAACTTTATCAGCTGGATAGCTCAATGAAAGGGAGCATAATTGGAGCCGGGGTTCCAGAATTTCCCTACTCTGCCTTGTAGGAAAAGAGCCAACCCGTGTAAGCTTGGGCAGGCTTTACAGAGCACTCCCAGAAGAAGGGAGTGATAAACCAATTTTAAGTACTCTCCACCTAGAAAACCTGGAAAGGATTGCTCTAAGTCAAAATCAACTCGACACTGTGTATTTATGACTCTTTCCAGCTGTCTACCCTCAGAAAAGGGAAGCACTGAAGACTTACTGCCAAGGAAAAGGCCAAAAACATTAACAAGAAGAAATATAAACAAAGTTGTTAAGAAAATGAACAGAAAGAAAGAACAAGAGTAAGAGAGAAAGATCCTATCCAGCAGACAAATGAAGAACTGATGAGATTTATTCAGGGTGGAGCATTCACACTGCCAATGGAGATAGTACAACAAGAATGGAAAGCTCCCTAGCGGGGAACGGAAACTAAGGGTGGGATTTTTCTGATTTCTTGGGCTACAATTCACACCATTCTCCCTTTTACAGCTATACAGGCTCTGCACGGAGTCTGCCAGCTTTGCGATTCCTTCTGCCCCAGGAGGAGTGGCTGTTGGTGATATACACAACCAGGGGAAGGTGGCTTTGTGCCCTTCCAGCAGCAAATTTCTGTGCCCTTGTGAAAAGACAGGGTTCTCTGGAACAGGCAATAAGGCTAAGAAAGGTGGAAGGCAGCAGGAAAAGAGGAAGCCCCAATGCGAGATAGTTTTACTCCCTAAAGGAAGCCACAAGCTTGAGTTTGCAAGACCTGAGCAGGGTAGTGGAGGACAGGACATTTTGGAGAGTGCTCGTTCATAGGGTTGCCATAACTCAGAGGAATAACAATATTTTGACACCTTCATTCAAAACTTGGTTACCCTGCCCTACTTAAAACTGCAGGATGACTCTGGTTACAGACTTCTTGAGCCATCTCACGGCTTCCTGTATCTCAGAAGCCCTGAACATTGTGAAGTTCCCTTCTTTCCCCAAATATACAGTGAAGCCACCATAAGGCCATTCCACTCACCGAGCAGTTTTCCAGTGGGGAAGATGCAGGCAACAGGGAATGCTACCGTGATTGCCTGCGTCTTGTTATCCCTCAAGTTAAAATCAAGCTGGGCCGTCACTCCTTGAAGAGAGATATCCTAGAACATAGACACAAGGTGTAAGAAACCTTCCAGATCAACCACCCGAAGCCAACATGGCCGCCAACATCTCCAACAATTCACCCCTTCCAAATTGGGGAAAAGGGTTATTAGCTTTTGGACTGCCATCTTCTAGAATTCGACAGCCATGGTGGCTGGGAAAACTCCTGGGGGTTGCCATCCAAAAAGAGTTCTCTGCCCACACCCACCTGATAGGACAAGCCAACTGCCAAGAGTGGTATGAACAGGTAGAAATAGTGGCCATCGTCCTGAACGGTGTAGTTCTGCGAGACAACGAATTCGTTTGTCAGCCGTACGTTGCCCACGTAGGGGACCCAGTAGCGGTCCAGATTCCCACGGATCATCACTAAACCAATCCTTCCTGTATCACAGAAGCCTTCAAAGGTTGGTAGAACTAATGGTGATGGGCAGAAGACAGGAGGAAAATATTAGAAGACACCATGGTGTGAGCCACCAAGAAGACATTCTAAACGCAAGCTCTTTCAACTCACGTGTTTCTCCCCAAACACTTCGGAAGCTAGACAATTTCTCAACAGACTTCTTTGTAAGAAGCAGCCCTTCCCAGAGTGCTACAACGGAGAGTCTCAAACCTGGGATCTCATATATTTTTTGGGGGGGGGGCTATAACAACCAGCACAACTGATGGCCCACCCATCTTCTAGGTGTCGTAATCTGAGAACTTCCAGTTTGGGAATTAGAATTTCTAGACTACAAGTTCCAGTGGTTTTTCTGCATTGAAAGCCCCCAGGATCTACTCTAAGAGTAACCTAACTTAAGCCAGACATTTTTCAGGAGCTGAAAGTAAACCGCATCAATTGATTTATATTTAAAACAACCAAGATTACTCTCATGTTTACCTGACGTAAGATTTCACAAACACCAACCCACCTTGTTGAGTATCTGATGGAGTTGGTTGAAGTCCACAGAACTTGCACCAAATAAAATTCTCACATCTCACCGCATGAAAATAAAAATGTTCCTGAGCATTTGTATATTTTGGGTGTATTTGCACCCTTCAGGCATGTTTTTTGTTGGCCTTTAAAGGTATCACCCAGTTTGGAATTCGTTCTGGGCCAATGTAGGTATCACTGTTTTTCATTGGGACCAAACAGCGTTAGCTCCTTAAGAGACCACAAGGCTCTGTCATCTTTGCTGCAGAAAGCCAATACATGTAAAACACATACCCTGGATTTATATTGTGCTTTTGCTCCAGTGAGCTACAACTAATAGATATAGCTCTTTTTCTCTGTACTTAATTATCACAACAATCTTGTGAGGTAGATCAAGCTGAGAGAGGGTAACTGGCTCAAGGTCACCTGTTAAATTCCATAGCGCTCTGGGGACCTTATTTGCTGCAGAAGGCCAATACATGTAAAACACATACCCTGGATTTATATTGTGCTTTTGCTCCAGTGAGCTACAACTAATAGATATAGCTCTTTTTCTCTGTACTTAATTATCACAACAATCTTGTGAGGTAGATCAAGCTGAGAGAGGGTAACTGGCTCAAGGTCACCTGTTAAATTCCATAGCGCTCTGGGGACCTTTCAAATCCCAACCCATCACTCTAACCGTTATACATCACAGTCTCTTTCCTCTGATGATGCCCAGTGGTAAAGAGATTTCCAGAGTATTTTCCAGTGACCAATAAGAATTGTGTTACTTTACACTGATGAAAAAAATTTGAGAACAGATAACAAAGGTTCTGTTATTGCCATAACAGCCTAACACAGCTACCCCATTTGCAAAGCAGAATACAAATGGTAAGCATAACCAAAAATAGCAGCCAAATTCACTGTGAATCGTGTACAAAAGGTCACAATTTCAGACCAGAAATGAAACTCATGGAAGCAACCTTAGTTTCCGAGGAAAACTGTCACCAAGCATCTCAGTTCAGAAGTTTCACAGATTGTTTGTGCCGTGATCAAAAAAAGATTCAACCACATTTTAATCTGGAGGACCGATCCTTGGCTAAGAAAAGAGAAAAGTGATCAAAACACAGACCCTTTGAAACCCAGGCATCACGGCTTATCCCAAAAGACCTACCAACATCTGGGACATCACACTCAATGACTGCAAGATGGGTGAACGGCTTGTCCTTTTGGACCAGATTCAGGGTGTAATTGAGGTGCAGGGTGTACTTCCTGATGTTGGCATACAGATACTGCAGAAGAGAAAACTCTCTCAGTCATGCAAAAGAGACAGAAACCTAGGAATCGTGTCGTAGCAGTGGCTCCCAACCTTCGGTAATCCAAGTGTCCTTGGACCGCAACCCGCCCAGAAACTCCAGCCAGCACAGCTAGTGGTGAAGGCTTCTGGGAATTGTAGTCCAAGAACCAAAATTGGGAACTACAGCAAGCCAACAGTGGGTGTGGCTAATTCAGCAGTGGGTGGAGCCAAAGAAGAATTCAAGGGAGCCTCTTTTCTTTCTCTCTGTTATCGTCATCATCATCTTTCCTTTCTCTCTTTCCTGTTCTTCTTCTCGCTCTCCCCTTTCCCCATCTAGCAACTTGCTTGGGAAGAGACAAATTACGACTAGAGAAGTTTTCCATGTATACGACTATACTTGTCTCTAAAGTCTTTAGACTAAAAATTGACGGTCGTTTTATACACGGAAGTAAGCTGAGGAGAGAAAAAACAAGTGGAGAGGAAGAATCCTGCAGGGCTTTGATCCCTTTCCCCCTACACTTGCTAAGACCCACTTAGATTTCTTAATTTTGGGTTAGAAAAGTGGGGGTATGTGTCTTATACATGGGAGCATCTTATACACGGAAAAATACGGTAATTTTATAGCGAGACCATGTGAGTTCACAGGTTGCCCCTCCTTGCTTTGCCTCTCCAATGTCTAAGCGGAGACAATAAGGCTAGCAACTTGTGACGGCCTGTGGACGCCAGGGCACATGTGCAGGAGACACACACACACCCCCCCAAAATACCTAGCCATCAAAATTCTCACACTTACCTCCTGTTCCACCAGAGGGTCAGCAAAAGGCACCTGCAGAATGAGGACCCTGGTGTTGTTGGGGTTGGGAACTTCCTCCAGGCGAAAGCCACGTCTCTTGAGCTCTTCCGGGCTTAAGGGCTTCCCGCCAATGCCAATGGCAACCAGTTCCACATCAGGAAGGAAGTTGCCCAGGCTGATGTCAAAGTAGCCTCTCTCTGGGATGGTGTCTAGCAAGAGAAGAGAAGCAACAAAACATCCTTCATGATCAAAATAACTTGGCCGGCTAGCTCAGAGGTTTAGGTCTCTGTCTGTGGGAGATCCTTCATGAGCCGATTCATAATCAAAATAACTTGGCCGGCTAGCTCAGTGGTTTAGGTCTCTGTCTGTGGAGCCAGAGGTTGGGAGTTCGATTCCCCATTATGCCTCTTTGACAGGAACGGAGTTTGATCACCTGTAGGGTTCCTTCCAACTCTTGCCTCTTTGACAGGAATGGAGCTTGATCACCTGTAGGGTTCCTTCCAACTCTGCCGTTTGAAGATTATTATTATTATAAATGGTTCAACCACAGCAGACCCTAAGGATGGGGCTGAGGAAAGCAGAGCTCTCCAGAGACTCCAGCTTTGAATCCGCTCTGGGTTTACACTGAACTTTACTGGAGCTATCCATGGTGTTGAATCCTATCACCCAAATAGAGAACTGGTAGAGTTCAGACAAAAACCCAGTGTGGAGTCACTCTATGAACCTGGAGCTACCGCAGGTCCCATCAGCGCTACCACAGCCCGTGGTCTATAATGATATGAGACAAAGCGAAAGGCCACCCTGGAAGATTCATTTTTCTGTAGGTGTATCCAACATGGTATTTTCCACTAGTTTCCCAGCACCCTGCTTCAAACAGCTAAAAAAAGAGCGAGATGAAACGGCTGCCTTGTAATGGGGGAACGGATGGAAACAGGAGCAAGGAAGGGCTGAACGAGCACCAAGGTGAAGAGATGGGGAAAAAAGAGGAGTAAGGTGCAGATGAGAGAGAAAAAGAAATAGTAATAGGATAAGGGGTGGGACGTGGTGGCGCTGTGGGCTAAACCGCAGAAGCCTGTGCTGCAGGGTCAGAAGCCCAAGCAGTCGTAAGATCGAATCCACGTAATGGAGTGAGCGCCCGTCGCTTGTCCCAGCTCCTGCCAACCTAGCGGTTCGAAAGCATGCAAATGCAGGTAGATAAATAGGGACCACCTCGGTGGGAAGGTAACAGCGTTCCGTGTCTAAGTCGCACTGGCCATGTGACCACGGAAGACTGTCTTCGGACAAACGTTGGCTCTATGGCTTGGAAACGGGGATGAGCACCGCCCCCTAGAGTCGAACATGACTGGTGAAAAAATTGTCAGGGGGAACCGTTACCTTTAATAGGATAAGAGGAGGACAAACTGATTTCTGAGCCTTGTAACTTTGGGTACTTCTGCTAGGAGTGTCCCAACGGGAAGGCACCCCGTGAGAAACATGAGGGAAGGGACAAGGAGAGGGAAAGAAAAGGGGCACCATTGAGAGCTCAGCTGATACTGGGATTGCCAAGATTAAAATATATTGCTTTTTGGTGTAAAACGGGAGATATTTCTTTTTTCAGAGAAAATGCAGGGCAAGATCTAAGCTTACTGTTGATCAACACCAGCGTCTGGGGAGCAAAGGGTGTGCGGAAGGGTTTTAGGCTGCGATGGCGAGTGCGGTCGCTCTCGTCTCCTTGCCACCTGCGGTCCAACAGAAGCTTGATGCTGTACGTTGTGCCATAGTAGTTGTTGATCACGTCACTCTGGAAGTAGTAAGAAAAGTGAGCAGGACATTCCCAGCACCTGCCCAAGTGGCCCACCCTCTGTTTAGGGAATCTTCCACCACCAGCTCAGACAGATTCTCACTAATTGCTCTTTCATACCCGGCATTTCCCCACCCACCCACATTCCTCTTTCTCTTGCTTAGATGCCCAAAGAGCTCATTACAGTAAATTCTTAAGATGTGTGTACAAATATCTCTTTAAAAATGAATTTCTTTCCTCTTCAAGAAATCTTTAACAAATCTTTAAGAAATCCACAGTTTTATGGCTGAAGCTTTCTACCAGGGCTCTGTTTTGAGCACTGATTATGACCTAGTGACTCTCACGGTGAACATCAGTTTCCAGCAGAAAGCACTGTACTGCTAAATCCCAGCCCAGCTACAAAATAATATTAAGAATAAACCAGGCATTCAGTAAGGATAAAAAGAGAGGCATGAAAAAAAAAGCATGATGTGAACTGAGACAATTTATTTATTTATTTATTTATTTGCATGATGTGAACTGAGACAAGAGGAACATTGTATGGATAATAAAATAGTGCAGGACCTGGTAGTAGTAATAATAATAACCACCTTAGAACTGCAGAGATGGAAAGGGCCATAAGTGATTTTGGGAGCTGATGTTCAAGACATGCTGGAACAGCAGCAGCTTGTTCAGACACGTACCTCTGTGAGACCCCCAGCCGCCCCGATGGGCACTGTGATGCTGATGAAGTCAACGCCATTGGTTTGGAACGTGTATCCATTCCTCACAGCAGTGGCCCTGTCAATCAGGAGCCCGTCCAAGCCCATCTCAATGGCTTCATCTTTATACAGATGTGGGAAGCCTACCAGAGAGGGCATGATCCGTGGGACAACCCAGCTGAGGGTGGTGGTGGTAAAAACTGCTGGGTCTGTAAGAGAAAAGAATCTCAGCCTATGATGTAATACTGTGACATATGAAAAAAAAAAGAATGGCCTGCTAAGAAGTTCTAAATAAACAAACAAATAAGACGTAGCAGTTTCAGAATGGTGGATGCTTCCGTTGTAGAGCTGCGAGACATAGTGCACTTTTGAAAACCCTACAGCACAGGTGAGCAAAACAGGACACCCAGTGAGGCTAGCTTTGTGGATCCTTGGACAATCCCACCAGGAAAATTAATTCTGGGGAAAGGAAGACATTTTTGACTCCAGACGTCTCCACAAAGAGTCATTTTGCTTCGATCTACTAAGCCAAAAGGAAAGTAGGTATCAAGAACCTAATGTTCTGCAGATGTTTACAGACGGTGCTTCCCATTGTGGGTCTGAAGCTGTAGAGAGGATAGACTGCTAAATACAGGAGGGTGAGCAAGAAAGAAGCAAGGCAGACTAACAGCTCCACGAGAGATGCTAGGCATCAGAGTTAAGAATACATTCCCAACAGCATCTTCCATTTTAATTTGTTAAATTTTGGAGGCTGTTCAAGTACTCACTGATAGGACAGGCAACCGCGGTGTCCACCATGAGGATCATCCAGGCCTGTTTGTAGAAGACCGTGGCTCGCGCCACCTCCACTTCTAAGCCTTGCACCTGTAGAAGAAAGAAGCAACAGGTGATGAGGTCTGGATCTCAGAAGGTCCATGTCAAGCTGGTGTCTATCGGGAGAAAGGCAGTGTGGCAGAACGGGGTAGAAGTTGGGAAGTCCATTTCCCACTGGAGGTAAGAAACCCACCTTGGGACAATCACTTTCTCTCAAACTGGCCTACTATACAAGTTTGGTGTGGTAAAATGATGAGGACCAGAATCACAAACACCGAGAGGAAAAGTGAATCATAAATATAACTGATATATACACTTTTTCAAGACCTCCATGGCAAGTGCCATGAAAAGAACACAACACCAACACAGTAGATTAACTAGCTCTTTTCAAGTCAAGACAAAGTTTGAATCCAAGACCCATGAGTATCTTTTTGGCTAGTCAAGCTTTGACCCATCATCCCACAGCACTGGAACCAGTGGCTATTCTTTACAAGTCAAGACAACGTTTGAATCCAAGACCCATGAGTGTCTTTTTGGCTGGTCAAGCTTTGACCATCTTCCCACAGCACTGGAACCAGAGGCTAAGGAGCGGATAGTAGCTTCAGTTACACCCATGTTCACCTTAGCCAAAGCCCTACTAATCTGAGGCAGGTTCCAATGCCTGCCTGAGTTACTGCCAAGCTTCTGAAACCAGGAGGCTCAGCCCCAAGGCACCATTCATCTCTATGTTTGCCAGCTCCGTGACCTAACTTACCATGAGATCATTCATCTCTGCGGTTGCCAGCTCCGTGACCTAACTTACCATGACGACCTCAGTCTGCTGAGTGCTGTACGGGGTGCGAAAGAGGACACGGGTGGCAGTGGTGTTGACTCCGTAGCCCAGGGCGTGGGCTTGGGTGGCCATCATACTCTCCAGGGAGCCATTCTGGAAGCGGAAAACCACTTGCCACACCTGGTTCATGGCTCCTTGGGCCTGCGAAAGGCAAACGTGTGTGACAAGGAGGCAGGAGTGGAAGACACGCAGCCTTCAAGGACTGAAGAGTGACCTTGAGGCATTCACTCACAGAATTGAAATTTCTTTTATTATTTAATTTTTTTCAGAATCAAAAAGTCACCTTGAATAGAAACAATTTTGACATGTGTTGGGGGCACATGGCCCCCATAAATATGCATCTTGTGTGTGTGTGTGTGTGTGTGTATTTTTTTCAGAATCAAAAAGTCACCTTGAATAGAAACAACTTTGACATGTGTTGGGGGCACATGGCCCCGGTAAATATGCATCCGTGCGTGCGTGCGTGTGTCCCTAGAGCAGTAGTCTCCAACCTTTGGCCTCCAGATGTTCATGGACTTCAACTCCCACAAATCCTGGCCAGCAGAGGTGGTGGTGTAGGTTTCTGGGAGTTGTAGTCCAAGAACATCTGGAGGCCCAATGTTGGGGACCACTGCCCTAAAGGATGCAAATTGATCACCCTCTAGTGGCGCATATTTATATATATATATAATCAATATAAACTATGGCAAAACTTTAGTTTTCATGGCAACATCTGGATATTGATATATAATCAATAAAAGCAGTTTTTATTGATATATAATCAATAAAAACTATGGCAAAACTTTAGTTTTCATGGCTATACACACACACAGGTATGAATATATATAGCCATAAAAACACCCCATTTGTGTAAGAAAAAAATGTGAGGGTAGTTTGCGGGTATAGCCTTTTAAGATCCAGTAATTGACACAGACAGCTCCCAGACTGACTGACTGACTGCCCCTGTCATTCGGGGAGGGTCCATTCTTTTCTGCCCCTAACAACAAAAGTAGATTAGATCCTAGATATACATTTCATACCAGCTGTTGAGCAGAAATTATACAGAGGCAAAAGGATCAAAGCTAGATAGTGTGCCTTATCTGAACAGAGCGGACTAATCGCTCTCTCCCTCCCCTTAACTACAGTCCAACCTCTTCTCCTTCGCTTGCTTTGGAGCTGAGAAACCCCCAAGAACCTCAGCTAGGGAGCTCTGCAAAAGTCTGCTTCACAACTCAATGAGTGCCAAATACAGAGAAGCTGGGACACAGAACCCACAACCTTAAATAGATCACGGATCAGTGGATTGTTTGGCCGCTGAGTCCGGTATCGGGATGGCTAGGGGATAAACAATGCTTTCATCTGTGCACTAAGTGGCAAAACTCAGTTCCTATCTCTGATCGGAGACTAAAGCGATTTAAAGACCTTTTGGAGACTGAATACCCTACTGTTTTTAAATACCTTTCCATCATCAAAAAGAAGGACCTTTCAAGTTTAAATGCCTTTCTATCACTCTTGTCTTCAATCACGGAATGGAGATGAGATTCAGTTTGCCTGCTTAGGGTGCTGCAGCCCTAAGAGCATCCTGAGAGACTCTTCCCATCCTGCAGCCCGGTGTTTAAAAGCATTTATAGCCAACTATTTATACCGGTCCCCACATATTCAGAACGTTTACCACTGGCCACACTGCGGTCCAATCTTCATTTAGCACCTCACTTGCTATTCCTGGAACGGCACGTCGGACGGACACCTAAAAGAAACCCCAGGTCAGAAAGTTCATCCACCGAAGCATCGCCTCTGAACCACCGCCTTTAATGGCTACCAAAAGGTAGAATTAAGATGGCCAGCTCTCAGCACTTAGATAAACCAGGGCGTGGTGTGTTTTTTTGGCTTGCCTGACTACAACTTTAAAATGACTTTCTTTCTTCAAGGCATCAAGAAATCATATTTCCACTGGGCTTTCTCTGCTGAAGCTGTTTATTTTTGATGGGGAGGGGGAACAGGGCAATGGAGTTTGAGTGCTAATTCAAAACTTATGACCAGAAGGACATGAATGCCAGTGAAAAGCACTGCAGGACTCAATTATGCCTGCAGACCAAAATGAAGTAAAGAAAGAAAGAAAGAAACCACGCCTGTCGTAGATTTGGTCACAGGACTAACGGAGACAAGGCAAGCTTTACATGGAGGGCTGGGAAAATCGCAATAACATCAGCACCGAATGAGATTAAGGATAGGGAACAAACGCTCCATCTGGCTAAGTCCTTATTTGGACAGGAAGGATGGGAGACAAGCAGTGAGCATAGAAAGCTGCGTGCTCCAACCACTTGCCATCCACTTAGAACTGTGCCTTGAGGCAGCTGGTCCACTCTGCCTAATAATAGGGCCTGTCCTGTTTAAGCAGTGTAGAAGAAAGATAAGCAGCCATCAGAGACCTTGCATAGTCTCAGGGAAGGGTGACAGATTTTTCATTACCTCCTTTAGAGCAGTACCTCTTCTTCTTCAAAAAAAATTCACTGATACATCACGAAGTATACAGCATGCAACATTCATTCATTCATTCATTCATTAAAAAAAAATTCACTGATACAGCACAAAGTATAGTGCATGCAACATTGATTCATTCATTCATATTTTTATCTGACCTAGCTCATAGCAGAGCTACTACTCTGGATGGCAGCTAACAGAACAACATCAGAACAGCATAATAACAAAAGCAGCAAAAGGAAATTTCAGAAAATTCAGAAAAGGGAACACGAGAAATATTTTCCCTGGAAGTACAAAATAGCATGAAGCACAATAAATAAAATAAAATAAAATAAAAAGGCAGGTGGCAGAGGAAAGGACACAAATTCACAATAGAACTAGTCAGAAAGCAAAAACAAAAATTAATTAACATTACTGAATCCTACACAAGGCTAGGAAAAGGAGGTTTGCAAAACAGCTGGGTCTTAGGTAGGTTGGGCCCTTTAACAGGCGTCCTGAGGTGACCTAAAAAAGCTCAAAAGCCTGGTTCCACCAGATTTTAAAAATCAGCACCAAAAGACACCAAAATCCATTCAAACTACTTTTGCACCCCATTGGTTTCAACGGGATTTAACCTGAACACAGGGTATATCAAAATCTTCACAATTTCCTCTCTCTTTTTTCTGCTCACCTCCATGTAATTTTCCTCGCAGACAATTTCTCGAGGGCTCCAGGGGGTACCAAGAGGGCAGTCCATAGAGACATCGTAAACAGCTGTCAAGCTATCCGGGCGAGTTACTTCCACTTGGAGTTGGAGGCTGAAATCCTGATCGAACTGGAGAGGAAGCAAAGCTTAACGTTGACCCCTTTCAGATGCTTGTCTTCAATCTTACTGAAGAACAAGGGCCTTACCAGGTTACGAACTGAACAAGCAAGGAAAGACACTCGGATCTCCGGATTGCCATACAAATCGGTGGTCGTGGTGAAGCCGCACTGGGTGGCGATCTGCTCTGTCACTCGAATTCGCTGGCCAAGCTCATCTGTGAAAAGCAAAAGGCCGGTGGAAAATCTGAACACCGAGCCATCCTACAGGGTTAAGACACAAAAACTCTTCATTGCTGTCCGTCCTCACCCCTATACCTTTACTGTACTGTATTCCACTTTCTCCCCAAAAGAGGAAAACCAATCTAATTTCTTAATTTCCTGGTTCCTGCTTTCTTGCTGGAACCCTGCAACATTAGAACTGCCGGTTTTCAACATTTGGTCCATGGGCAGCCCTGGAGAAAAGTTTGCTTCATGGAGGGAAATTTAAACTGGACGACTCATTTCCTTTGGGCTGCTTGCTATGTCAATTCATTTTCGTGATCTGCTGGATAATACTTGTATCTTGGACTTGTTAAGTGCCATCAAGTCAGAAATGACTTATAGCAACTCTCAGGACTTTCAAGGTGAATAAGGTATTTGAGAAGTGGCGTTACCCGTTCCACTCCCCCAATGGGCTTTCATGGCTGAGCGAGGATTCGAACCCATGCCTCCAGTGAATAAGGTATTCGAGAAGTGGCGTTACCCGTTCCACTCCCCCAATGGGCTTTCATGGCTGAGCGAGGATTTGAACCCATGCCTCGAGAGCCCTAGTCCATCACTCTGTCCACTACCGAACCCATGCCTCCAGAGTCCTAGTCCATCACTCTGTCCACTACTTACTACACCACACTGGGTATCCCCTGGGTGATACTGGGACTGGGAAACTAGGGTCTAGACCAGCCACTATCCCTCACCCTAACCTTCCTCACAAGGTTGACTTTGAGTCTGAGCAAAGATAAACTACAAAAGCAGTAGGGGTCATAAAATAAATGGTAGGATATACAAATAATGCCGTTGCTACTAACAAGTATGTGCGGTGAAGGTGATTCTCACTGATAATCCTTCCCAGGATTCTCTAGGTATAAAATACTTCCTTGTGGTTCACCAGTTTTTAATGATGCTTTGGGATGAACACGTCGCTTGTCCAAGGCCACACAGATGGCAAGGCACATAACCCCATCAGCCACACACACACACATTGGCAGGTCTTGGCTGGCTCCTCTCGGGGAGGCAGTGTGGATTCGAACTCCTGGCCCACAAGCACTCCAACCCACAGAATCTAGGCTGTAACCCCCTGCTGATAACAGTGTTCCCTTCAGCGTCCAACATGGCCCCTGATTCCTAGGATTTAACCGGGGCCATTAATCGGTTCAGTAACAAACAGCCAGCCACTGAGAGTTGCCCGGTGGCTTACAGCAGTGGTCCCCAACCTTGGGCCTCCAGATGTTCTTGGACTACAACCCCCAGAAGCCTTCACCACCACCTCTGCTGGCCAGGATATCTGTGAGTTGAAGTCCAAGAACATCTGGATGCCCAAGGTTGGGGACAACTGGCTTACAGGGTGAAGGACACAGCATGGGGAACACATACAGCATCTCCGACTTCTAGTAGAGAGGAAAGAGCTTGGGCACTCGGGCAGAATGGGCAAGGACAGGTGTTGCTGCCACCTCCCAAACATCCGGCACTGGAGGCCACCACCTCCCTCTGCCTTACGATAGGACCGGCCTCTTTAAAGGGAGACTGCCATACTTACTGAGGACACTGTAGCTCCAGGTGTTCTGTCCCAAGGCGGCCTTGTTCATCCATATCCAAAAGTAGCGGCCTCTGCATTCGGTCCGCGCTACACCTTCCAGGGAAGGAAATCATTTTTCTAGACACTTCCAGGGCTCTCGATTTCAAGTACACCAACCAACTCCAACAGGCATGCCATACACTACGGTCTATTTACAACGGTTCCCAACCTCAGGTCCCTAGATGTTCTTAAGACTAAAACTCCCAGAAGCCTTCGCTCCTAGCTACGTTGGCCAAGATGTATAGGTTTTGTAGTCCATTAACATCTGGGGGACCTCAGGCTGGGAGCCACTGGTCTAGAAAACACATCCTGCCTGCACTCGGGTGGTCCGCTTTTGG